CAACTTATCAGTGATGTCTTTTACCTGCACACAGTAATGTGAAAAGACGATAAACCATACTTGTTTTTGGAAGTGATCACGCCATATATCTGAGTAAGTCATCTGAGAAGATGTTCACATTCTAGGAATCACTTTATCAGAACTTCTGACAGAAGGAGATCTGCTATGTTCAGATAGAACAAGTTCAAATGAGCTGTTGCATAGTAGGCTAACTACAATGGCAAAACACTATATATGTTTTATAACTTTTTATTTTTTTAATTATAATATAACTGATTTCTTTCTCCCTTCCCCTTTCATCTGTCCAACATAAGTTCAAAATTTAAAACTTTGAGAATTTTTTGAATTTAGTAATTATTATTTACTATTACTATTTACAATTTATTTGCTTCGTATTCCAGTTATATAGCCTTCTCTTTCATCTACTCCTGGTCCCATACTCCTTCCCTTTTCCTCCCCTATTTCTCTCTCCTAGTGCACTGATAGGGGAAGTCCTCCCCCCTACTATCTGACCCGAGCCTATCAGGTCCCATCAGAACTGTCTGTATCCTCTTTCTCTGTGGACTGGCTAGGTTGCCCCACCAGGGAGAGGTGATCAAGGAACAGGCACCTCTCACTTCTCCCCTTACTAGGGTACCCAGTTGGAGACTGAGCTGTCTGTGGGCTACATCTGAGCATGGAGGAGGGTCTTGTCTTCTCTGCATTGTCTTTTGTTGATGCACCAGTGTCTGCACTACCCCCTGGGCCCAGCTCTTTTGGCTTTGTTGGTCTCCTTGTGTGGCTCCTGTCCCCTCCAGGTCCTTCTCTATTCCCCTTCCTCCATAAGACTCTCTTTCCTCAGGCTGAAGTTTGGCTGTGAGCCTCTGCATCTGCTTTGATCCCCTACTGGGTGGAGTCTTTTAGAGGATGTCTGTGGTAGGCGCCCATCCTGTTCCCTCTCTTCTACTGCTTCTGGTCTCTATCCTGTTTTCTCTTCTGAATGAGAATGAAGCATCTTCCCTAGGGTCCTCTTTGTTGTTCAGCTTCTTTAGGTCTGTAGATTTTAAACATACGAAAAACATTAAGTTCTTAAAATTGTATATAAAAGATAGATGTTTGAGGTTATAAAATGTAACAGTTTAAACACATATAAAAATACCATTGTACATCTCATTTACATTTACAATTTTATATATGTCTGTGTCATTTGAAAATAAAAAGAACAAAAACAAATGTTGCATATTTGGAATGTGTAAAGAAAAGTGAAACTCATAGAAGCTGAACATAGAATTCCAGACACTTAGTTCTGAGAGGTAAGGATTACACAGAAAGGTGAAATTACAAAATTTACAATGAAAGAGAAACTTGGAGAAATCTATTGAATACTGTGGGATGTGAGGTAACAGGACTTGAAAACTGATATTCTCACTGCAAATTGTTAAACTCGTACATTGACTAGTTAACAAACTGCTCTGGTCAACTTACAGCATATGCAGGTATTCAACAATCGTTTCATACCACATGCGTTTAACTGTTTTAATTGTCAACACAAAATAATTTGTTTTTTTATTAAGATAGTTATGATAACTAATGTTTTTGGAAAAGTAGACAAAATAGCACTTCTTAAGATTGCCCACACCATATCATGTTTTAGAGATCCTCCATTTCAAGGAACATGATCTTTTCATCAACTGTTTGAAAGCTTGTATTGTCATCAGTCTAGATTCCAATGAATTTGTAAAAAACAACAGCAAGTATCCTTAGTGGCATTTAAAATGCTATGTAAAAATTATTCAAGGGCAGTGATTTTTGTAAGGAGTGTATGAGCTAGTGAAAGGTGAGAGCAACAAAAGGATCTGTTTGCTGCCTAATCCTGCTTTGATATATTTTAAAAATTTATTACAGTTTATTTATTTTATATCCCCGCTGTACCCCTCCCATTGTCTCCTCCTAGTCCCACCTACCCTCCCTCCTCTCCATTCTCAATAGTCCCCTGATAGGGGAGGTCCTTCTTCCTTTCTATCTGACCCTAACTTATCAGGTCTCATCAGGACTGGCTGCACTGTCTTCCTCTGTGGCCTGGCAAGGCTGCACCCCCAAGGCGGAGGAGATCAAAGAGCCAGCCACTTAGTTCATGTCCAAGACAGCCCCTGTTCCCCTTACTAGGGTAACCCACTTGGAAAGTGAGTAGCCTATGGACTTCTTCTGAGCAGCTTTAATTTTGAAGAACACCAAATAGTGTTTTGTTTGAAACTGCTCAAATGAATTAATGGGCAATAAAGACTTGAATGAAACTTTCAATTTCAGATTTCTTATGTATCATAGAAAATTTGTATGGTACTGTCATATACAGTTCATTGGTAAACTAACTTCTAACAGAATTGAATTCATATAATCTTGATATCTACAATCACTTCATCTGATGCAAAAACAAAAACAAACAAAAAAAATACTCAGCACCTGAACATTCTTCTAGGGCCTCTAGGGACTAAGAAGTCTAATGTCAACTCTCCCATTAAGAAAAGTGGCATCTGAGGAGCTTTTAGTTCTCAGGAGACAACTGCATACATAATAAAGGAGCAGAAATTACATCTTCAACGCAGAAGGCAAATCTGTCCTTACAGAGCTCTGGGGAGGGTGCTGTCCTAAGATGCCAGGTGAGAGGAAAACTGAGCATGGTTTGAAAATGAAATTTAGATCAAAAAGACTGTGGGTGAATTAATGAGTACAGAAAAGGCTAATCACATTGGAGGGGCAGCCGGGATCTGCAGAGGAGGTGCCTTAGGGCAAACCTGCCTAAGTTGATTGTATTTGTGTCTGAGATGTTTGGGCCATGGCAGTAAAACACTTGGAAACGAACTGGAGAAGTGGAGGACTGTCCACGTGCATGCTGAGGCTGATGAGGGGACTTATCATATGTAAGTATCCCTTAACAGTACAAAGTACAAATTCAAAACACCCCCCCAATAAAATCTAAGCAAAAAGAAACATCAGTTACAAAGTGGAACATTTATAGGCAGGTGGCACTTAACTCTGCGTGAGAGTCACACATAAGGAGTCTTGGCAGTTTAGGATGATTTCCTAACCTGTCTTCCCTCACACTGCAGAGTTCTCCATCAAAGGCTCCATGCCCACTGATCCTCTGAGGCTAATGTTTGACATCTTCACAGACACTTTACTTTCCAGATAACATGTAAGATAGAAATCAATCACTAAAATCACTTCTGAGTTTCATCTAAATTGATGGAGACAGATTACGAGCTGTGGAAATCAGTCAGCAGGATCCTACAACAACCCACAACTAAAAACAGAAAAAGGAAAGTCAGGATTTGAGTCTGATTTCTGTGGTTTTCCCTAAATCTCTTTCTCCATCAGAACCTGGATTCAAAAGAAATTATTTTAAATGAGTCATAAGGGAAATAATGAGACTAAAGTGGAAACATATGTTCTCATCAGGAAATGACGACTTCCCAGCGTAATCATCACCAAAATTAACAATGACAGCAGGTGAAGAACAGGTGACGAACCTGACATCTCGTGTTTGGTGTTCGTGGTATCATTGCTGATGGGTGTGAAGACCAAGGTAGGTGCTGAATCGTTAACTTTAGAAACATGGAAAGTGAGATAGAGTGTAAATAGAGAACACACGCGTATTGAAGGCTTGAAAAGATTTAAATGTGTCTGTAGATATTTTTTCCTAAAATAAACATGCTGTGGTTAATGTAGATAATGAAAGTGGACTGTCCTATAAATATTGCGTGATTCTTTCTGCTGCCTAACATTTTAACAAAACTAGTAAATTGTGACAGATTTAATTTGTGCCATTGGCATAAAATATATTTTAGGATTAAGCACATGGCCAAAGCACACATGAAGTATTGGCCTGAAAAAGAACAAATGATCAACATTAAATCATATCTGTAAAGTAGGCACAGTATGATTTGATTTGACATACCGACTAAAAATGAATTTTCCATTATCATATTCAATAGTCCCTGTGAAAAATATCTGTGTATTAATAATTACAAAATTAAAAATTTCACTATGAAAGTAGTCTATATGCCAAGTGAATGAATATAAAATATATATAAAATTTCAACTATGGACACATTTTGAACTATATAGAAATATTTCTCTTATTTTCTATGGTAAGTAATTTTAGAAACCAATTTTATATTTAAAAAATATGCCACTGGTCACAGTACTTCTTAAAATTAGTGATGAGGAAATGAAAATAAGAAAATCCAAATCCATCACAAACTATGTTATGAATGTACTATAGAACTTAAGAAAAAAAAGAATTTGTCTAAAAGTCCAAGTACTACCTAGAAATGAGCAGAGCTCATGATCAAAATAATAGTATTACTACATTAATCGTAAATAATATATGCAAATTATTGTAGGTCCTTTTAGTTTTTGCACTCATATCGGCAGAAAAATTTTAAGAGGAAAGAAAAAAAAACATACACTATCATCTCCCAGTGTGTTATCAGGGTTCACAGTGTAGATGGTAAGCTTCTCTGTTACATAGAAAACACTTATTTCACTCCCAATATCACAATATGCCACAATCCTATGAACAACTAATCAACTGATATCACATTTATTTATAAGGCCCAGGACTAAAGAATCCCACAGAACAATGAGCTATAATCAGAGTGCAATTTTTTGTTATTGAAATTTAGTTAATGATAAGTTTGGATAATAATAAGTCTTCATTTGAAAATCTCATCATATCAATGTTACAACTTGAGTTAACTAAAAACATTCTTATTTTTTCCTTCAGTAACACATCACAGCTGAAGAAGTTGTTCAAGAGAGAAATTACTCTTTATTAGGTGCAACTTATACAACAGGAAATATCATAAACTCTTTATTACACAAAACATTAGAGAAAATTCATGACTTTGTGAGGATGAGTCCAAGGGAATGTGCATTTGAGGTGCAAAAATTATAAGTATGGGGCTCAGCATCTGGTCCTGGGACAACACAATTTTATAGACGTATGCAGCCCTGGTAACATGCTTCCTGCCAACATCACTAGCTCCATCTACTCCACCTTCCTGGTTACAGGGATTCCAGGGCTGGAGGCTGTGCACACCTGGATATCAATACCATTCTGTGCCATGTTCCTCATTACCATGGTGGGCAACATGGCCATCATAGTTCTTATCTGGCAGGAGCAGGCTCTTCATGTTCCTATGTATCTTTTTCTAGCCATGTTAGCTGCCTCTGACCTGGGTCTCTCTCTCTTTACCTTCCCCACTATGTTGAGGATCTTCTTGCTGGATGCTAGAGAGATGACCACCTCTGCTTGCTTCACCCAAATGTTCTTCATTCACACCTTCCAAGACCTTGAATCAGCTGTCATTCTGGCAATGGCCTTCGACCGATATGTGACCATTTCTCACCCACTTCATTATCACTCCATTCTCACAACCACTGTGATTGCCAGGATGGGATTGGCTATTGTTGTACGAACCTTAACTGTGCAGGTGCCTCTCCCCATTCTCTTGAGGAGACTTCACTTTTGTCACTCCAACACCCTTTCTCATTCCTACTGTTTGCATCCTGACATCATAAAGCTTTCCTGCTCCAGTACTAGAATCAACAGTATCTTTGGACTGTTTGTGGTGCTCTCTACCATGGGGCTTGACTTTCTCCTCATCCTTCTTTCTTATGTATTGATCCTGAAAACAGTACTGGGCATGGCTTCCCAAAGTGGTCGCCTCAAGGCTCTCAACACCTGCATATCTCATCTTTGTGCCGTGGTCCTCTTCTTCACGCCCATGATCTGCCTATCCATGCTGCACCGCTTCGGCCCAAGACTTCCCTCACATGTCTATGTGACCTTGGCCAACATGCATTTCTTAATTCCCCCTGTAATGAACCCGATTGTCTATGTGGTAAAAACCAAGCAGATCAGAGACAAAATTCAGAAACTTTTCATTATAAAAGCAACAGAAAAAGCTCAGGTGGCATCTGTAACATAAATTACTGAAAATGTATGAACATTAAACATGGTCAAAAGCTACCTTTCCTTTTAAAATGTTCTTTTTACTGAACTTCATATAGCTGTGAAAACCAAGCACTATAAAATTGCATTATTTCTTCAAATTCTACAAATGTCTTTCAAATTCCACAAGATTTGATTATTTTTCTTTCATACCCTGTCTTTTACATCCACTTGTTTAAGTACGCCATTCAGATGTTCTTTAAAGACAGCACGTAAATTCATGTGTGAAATAATGCACATTTCATGTTTTTATAACTCTTTTAAGCGTTTTTAAAATTTTATTTTATTTTTATTAATTACAATTTATTCACTTTGTATCCCACCTGTACCTCCCTTCCTCCTCCCCTCCCAATCCCACCCTCCCTCTTCCCCACCCATGTCTCTCTCTAAGTCCACTGATAGGGGAGGTCCTCCTCCCCTTCCATCTGACCCGAGCCTATCAGTTCTCATCAGGAATGGCTGCATTGTCTTCCTCTGTGGCCTGGCAAGGCTGCTCCTCCCTCAGGGGGAGGTGATGAAAGAGCAGGCCAATCAGTTCTTATAACTTTTAAGATAGTTTTGAAACTTTATTTAATCACGTGTGTGTGTGTGTGTGTGTGTGTGTGTGTGTGTGTGTGTGTGTGTGTATGCACCAGCAGTGTGTAGGTGCTCACGGGGCCACAAGCGTGGCAGATGCAGGGTTTGTTGGAGATGAAGTTACATATGGCTGTTGGCCTCTTGATGTAGGTACTCAGAACTGAACTTGGATCTTCTGCAAGAGCAGTGCGTAACCTTAACTAATGAGCTATTTTTTAAAAATATTTGTCTTTCTTTTATTTATTTTTTTATTGTAAAACTTTTCCACTTTAAATCCCAGTTGTAGCCTCCTCCTTCATCTTCTCTCAATCCCACCCTCCCTCCCTATTCCTCTCCCGTGCCCCTCCCCCAGGGCCAGTGACAGCGGAGGTCCTCCTTCTCTTCCCTCTGACCCTAACCTATTAAGTCTCATCAGGACTGGCTGCACTGTCTTCCTCTGTGGCCTGGTACACACAGGCATATTAACCTTTTGTTTTTCTCAGCTTTTTTTCTCTGTAAGCACAGTCCTTTGTATTAATTATAAACTGGGTTTGATTGTCTGAACGAAAATGAGTGCTCAGTAGACCTCCAGTTGACCTAATGCATGTCCTCATGAAAGCACTACATTGACTCTAGATTTTTGCTTTACTTTACAGAAATGCCTGTTGGTATTTTTTAATTAAATTTTTATTTCTATATTAATTACAGTTTATTTACTTAGTATCCCAGCTGTAGCCCCCTCCCACATTCCCTCCCAATCCCACCCTCCCTCTCTTATCTCCTTCCATGCCCCTCTCCAAGTCCACAGATATGGGAGGTCCTCCTCCACTTCCATCTGACTCTAGCTTACCAGGTCTTATGAAAACTGGCTTCATTGTCCTCCTCTGTGGCCTGTAAAGGCTGCTCCCTCATTGGGGGGGGAATCAAAGAACCAGCCACTGAGTGCATCTCAGAGACAGTCCCTGTTCCCTTATTGGAGAACCCACTTAGATACTGAGCTGCCATGAGCCATCTCTTGAAACCATGTTCTTGAAAGTTTGTGTCATATACAGGGTATTTATTTTTTGCTTTTGTCTTCTCAAGGATAAATTCTTCATTAATCTTCATACTATTTCCTCATTACTTAAGTACAATTGCTCATTTATCTCACAGATATTTAGAATAGTTAAGGATAACAGCCTTATCTTCATTGTCTTGTCTTAGTTTTTCACATCAAGTAAGCTGAATGACTCATACAACAACATAGATTGAACTAGTAATGTGAGAAGGAGATAAGGACCTTCCCAATTAAATCAGATTAAATAAAAATTTGGTAATAAATTCTTGTCACATCACTGATAAATTCTTGTTACATCACATTTCAGAAAATGATATAGTAAATGGGTGATATTAGAACAGAGAACAGGAAAAGGTGTGCTAAAGTGTTAATAAAGTCAAATAATTGACTGAGTGAGTTTTATCCCTGGATATATATATATTTATAACAGTAAAGTCCTTGATTAGATTTTTAAACACAGTTTCAGGGGCCTGGTATATTCATTATAAAATAGATTTCAATTATGTGTAATGATGATGTTGTGCTAATGTCCTCTCCTTAATTAAATAACTCAAATGACACTGTTAACAACACTCATTTTTGGCTTTATTCAGAGAAATATATCCATGCATTTAAAACTTCTTTATTGATCATGAAGTAATGAGTAATTGAATTTTAAGATATTCATTCTTTCATGAGTGTACATGTATTTGATGTTGAATACATCAACTGTGAAATGTTCATGCTTTGATTTTTGTATTTGCTGTACTCAGTTTAATTTTGCTCCTTTTAATTTTACCTATATTTATCACAATTATTCTGTTTAATATTAATCTAAGGGACTTTCTTTATGTTAATCAAGCTGTTTTCAGAGAAAATAAAGAAAAACAAAGGAAATGGGATTATATTGCAATATGCATCACAGTCAAAATAAAAGTCAAGATAATCTCCTATGTGACGTTATTTTGCCATCAATATCGAAAGCTTGTAAACTCTGGTTTCCTTAATCGCCAGAGTGATGATGCTTAGTATCTATCATTAGCAGCAACAGTGGCTATCTCCCTCTTCCCACGATGATCATGCAGAAATGCCTTCTTTCAAGTTGGGCACCATACTTATCTGCTCTGAGTGTATGATTTGTTGTAGCTTTAATTTAAAAATTCATTGAGCTCTGTTCAGTCAGTAACCCTTCTCAGTTAAGTGCTAGAGTAGGTGAACTACAAACTGATGTCTGTCACATGATTCCTGACTAACCTAGAACCCCTGCTCAGATATAGCCCATGGCAGCTCAGTATCCAAGTGGGTTTCCTAGTAAGGGGAACAGGGAATGTCTTTGAGATTAACTCAGTGACTAGCTCTTTGACCTCATCTCCCCACCCCCGAGGGAGGAGCAGCATTGCTAGGCCACAGAGGAGGACATTGCAGCCAGTCCTGGTGAGACCTGATAAGCTAGGGTCAGATGGAAGGGGAGAATGACCTTCCCTATCAGTGGACTTGGGGAGGGGCATGAATGGAGAAGAGGGAGGGAGGGAGGATGGAGTTGGTAGGGAATGAGGTAGGGAGCTACAGCTGGGACACAAAGTAAATAAACTGTAATTAATATAAGAAATAAAAGTTTATTAAATAAAGAATACTCCCTATTCTTCCAGAGGCCCTGAGGACAATTCCCAGCAACCACATGGTGACTTCACAACCATCTAGAATTAGATCTGGTGTTCTCTTCTGGCCTGCAGGCAGAACATTTTATACATAACAAATAAAATTTTAAAAAAATGAAATGATCAATACTGTTGCTCTATAGTACAGCTTGAGATTAGGGATGGAGATACCTCCAGAAGATCTTTTATTGTAGAGGACTCTCTCTGACATGAACTCAGTGGCTGGCTCTTTGACCACCTCCCCCTGGAAGGTGCAGCCTTGACAGACCACAGAAGACGACAATGCAGCCATTCCTGATGAGACCTGATAGGCTAGGGTCAGGTGGAAAGGGAGGAGTTCCTCCCCTATCAGTGGACTTGGGGGGGGTAGAAGGGAGGAGAAGGAGGAGGGGATGAGAAAGGGGACTACAGTTGGGATACAAGGTGAATAAATTGTAATATATAAAAGAGAAGAAAAGTGAGATCAATAAAAAGGTTGCTTTATGTTCCTTGTATCAACATAGTGCTAAAGATTTTCTACTCTGGCCCCATCATGCCTATAACTTAAGAAAGAGAAGAAAGATAATGCTTTGTTTGGAGAGTGTAGGTGATTTTTATGTTTGGGGTTACAATTTTAAGAAAGATTTTGTTAGAATCAGCATAGTTAGGTCCATAGCAATAACTGTTTAGGCCTATCCTGATTTTAGACTTAGAAAAGAAAAAAAACTGATCTATAACCAGTTTCAAGTTCTTAGTATTACTCTGGAAAGTTCACACAGATCTACTCATTAACAGTTGTTAATGTGTTTACAGCCTGTATCATGGGAATTTGCTCTGGGCCTTCTGGGAAAACTGGAATCATGCTTTAAAAGCCTGTAAAGTTGTCATTCCACTTAAGGTTCAGAGCCTTCTGAGGCTCTACAGAGCTTGTGGCTCTGTCCTGGAGTCTGGTAAGTGATGGAAACACTTGAATCTCTGTTAGATCAAGTGGTCATGTGGTGCCTGGGACGGAAGGCACAGCTTATGACACGGACAGATTAAAACTCTTTATAAGAACTTCTGAGGCAGGAAGAACAGTTCTATTAGGTTCTCAGCTCCACTAGTTGATGTATATGATAATTTTAGTTAATCCCTAACCCCCTTTTCTCACTTGCCAATCACCTGTTTCTCTCAGAGCTTAAGATCAGATAGAAATCAAGTTGCAATTATATATGTTGCCTACTGTTACCGATAAGAAATTGATGCCAAAGAATAGAGATAGAAAGAAAGGAAACAGGAAGAAAATAAGAAACATGCCTTCCAAATCTCATGAAACTCCATATTAGAGGCAACTCAGATTGCTACCGAGAGGTCTTCAAGATGAAGATTGAAAGTTCTTATCTTATATGCAACAGATGATGGTTCAGGCAGCATTTTTCTTACCATATTCCTTTGGGAAAATACAATAGTTCTGCATTTCCTCACTAAAGACCTCATGCAATCTTAATTTCTAACATGCTTCTCAGCATAATAAACATCAACTCTTGGGATACAAGCAATGCAGAAATTCAAGTTTCAGAAATTTAATTACTACATAACAAGTTAAGATTCTTTTTAATTTTTTCACATTTTTTTATTACATATCTCGAGTTAAGCCCCCCTCCTACAACTCACCCCAGTTCCACCCTCCCTCCTTCTTCTCCTCCCATCCCCTTCCCCTGGTCCACTGAAAGGGGGAGTTCTCCACCATTGTCATCTGCCCATAGCTTG